TACTACTACACTACTACTATATACACACACACACACACACACACACACACACACACACACACACACACACACACACACACTCACACACACTTTCTTTCTTTCCGGCCATTCACTTCCAGCCACAGGACAGATTTACATCACGGTTGCTATTGTCCCATGACATTAAGCTGTAAAATGATGCAGCCGCTCCATTTGCTTATTCTTTTGACAATCACAGTCTGGGACTGAATCTGACCAATGACGTGAGCTTGCCTTAAAACCAAGGAGGGCATTGTTTGGCACTGATGGCATCTTAAATGAAATGGAGCCATGGGCATTTATTTTTGTAAAGATCATTGTGTTGAATGCTGCCAAGTGAGTAGACAAGCCAAAAAAACCAGCCAAACAAAAAGCAAAACAAAGGAAAAGTGATTGTATCTCTGCGAATGAAAGAGAAATGTTTGTGTAGGGGGAGGGAATTTCTGTTGCTGCTGCTTTTGGATACGTAACAATACATATTGCTATTTGTATTACCTGACATATACCAGCTGAACCAAATCTTTCTACTTAGCGCTGCATGATCTCTGTCTTTGTTGCTCTTGCATATATAATGGAAGAAGAGGATGTAGCCTTGCAGGGCAAGGAAGGGAGAGGAAATGCAGTAACTTAAGAATCAGAAGAACGAATGTAATAAATTATTGGAAGGCGAGCCATGTTTTCCATTATTGGGATTCAGAAAGTGACTTGCTAAGCTGAATTCTGGGATTCAGTTTGCCTACCTAATAATACAAAATTGCCACTCTTGTCTAATATAAAGTGATATTGTCAGGTAGCTTAGACACAATCTAGGTTGTTTTAAAATATATCTATACTTTTACAAGCTCTAATATCAGTAGAAATGTTTGTTAGATTTTTCTTTTAAACATTCAGTGACAAGTTATCCACACTTTCTAGCCTGGTTGTTGAGAACCCAGAGTGAAACTGACAATAAACAAGTGACAAGGTGGGGGAGGTAATATCTTTTTATTGGACCAACTTCTGGTGATGAGAGACGAGCTTTTGAGCTGCATAGAGCTCTTTTTCAGAAGACCTGAAGTTGGTCTGATACATGATACAACTTCACCCCACTTGTCTCTCTAATATCCTGGGACCAACATGGCTACAACACCACTGTGGATAAATAACAGTGAAACTGACAAGTCTCCTTTCATTATCCAAACTGAATGAAGTGCAAAAATTTAAACATCTTAAAGGCAAAAAAAACAAACTAGGGTTTGCAAATTCTTTCACCTTTAATAATCCCTAAAGGACATGGTTTTAACAGTGTATATGATTGTATGACCTGGCTGTTGAAAGATGAACTGAAAAGCTCATTTTATTGAAAAAACTTTATTTAAGATCCTGAATCATTCAGTGTGTGATTCTCCCCTAACTGACATGTATGTAAAGCAAGAGTAAAAACAGGTGAGAAAGGAAAATTAGGCTCCATTTTTAAGCAGAACTCCCATAATAAAAGCAGCACTTCCCCACTGACGTCCAAATGAACGGCACAACATCGCCTTCACAGAACAGGTTAAAGTTACAAACCAAAGGCCATATTATATGATCCTTAACAAAGTAAAACTCCCATTGACATCACTCTTCAAATAACATCGTGGATAATCCAAGTTCTGGGGTGGTGGTGGTTGTTTTTAATTTAACCCCTCCCCCCAATCTGAATTAAGGTCTCCGTATTTCTGTAGCCTGCGTTTGATTATATGGCTGAGACCCAGAATGGTGCATACAGCTCCTTGCTGTCCTTTGAGTGTTAGAGTTTTGGGCCGGATTCTGACTGGATGCACCAGTGTAAATTTGAAGTATTTCCATTGCCTTCAGTGGAGTTTTTCAAGATTATCCCAGAATAACTAGGATCAGAATCTGGCCTGTTGTCAGCTGCTGTAGCAGAAGCAGATTAGTCTGAACATCCATCATAGCAGGTTTTAGGTGTGTGTTTTTTAAGCCTTTCAATGAATCTGTCAGAAATGATCTAGGAACACCTCGATGGAAAAGCCACCACCTGTTTGTGAAATGTGGAGTCTGTTGTTGGGACTGGATTTGAATCCAGCGAATGGAAACCATGGCTTTTAAAAGTCAATCTGTAGTACATCTCTACTGTTAAAGTAACCTCTCACCACTGAGGCTTGGTCTACACTACCATCTTATGTCGGCATAGCTCCATCGCTCAGGGGGGTGGAAAATCCACCCCCCGGAGCGATGCTGTTATATGGATCTAACCCCCGCTGTAGATAGTGCTGGGTGGCCGGGAGAGCCTCTCCTGTCAACATAGCCAATGCCTCTCAGGAAGGTGGAGTACCTGCACCAATGGGAGACGCTCTCAGTGCTATAGTGGCATAGCTTCACTGCTACAGCACTGTCTGTGTAGACAAGTCCTTCGTCAAGTGCATAGAAAGCATTAAAAGACTCTCCTAACTACACAGGTTGTGGGTGAAAAGAAACTGACTTGGCTCCTGAACCTGCATCAGATCGGTGTGGGCCTGTGCTTGTGTGGATCCAGTTGTAGGGTCGGGGTCTTTCTATGCGTGTTAGGACGTTTTTTGATTTGGTCTCTTGGGACCTGATCCAAACCCCATTGGAATCAATATGAGTTTTTTTCCATTGACTTCAACAGAGTTCGGATCAGGCCCTAGATAATTTTGCATCTTTTGAGCACAAAAGCTAGTTGTGGGTTTTTTGTTTTTGTTTTTGCTGTTTCCAAAAGCTAGGCTTTTTTGTAATGATTCGAAGTACTGTAGCTATTACATGTCCTGGGAAATACATAAGTGCTTTGAATGCATCTTTATAGCCAAAGAGGCAATATGAAAAGACCCTTTGTTGAATCTGCTCCTTGTTCTCAGCACATATTCACGAGCCTCAGGATAACCAAGAGATTTTGAGGCTTTTGGCTTAGAAATGATCGGGGTGGGGGAGGAGGGACATAACCCCATTCCTTCTGTATTTTAAATGTGGGTGTTAGAGTTGGGTCAGTGCCCATCGCCTTTCACAGGTGAAGTGAAAGAGACAAGATCCTGACTCTGCCGTGAACTGCGCCTCACTTGTCAACTTCAGTAGGTTCTGCCTGCATGGAGCTTATAACCTGATCAGGGAATTAGCATTTAAGATCTTAAATCAGTAACAGAATCGATGTGCCTGCTGAAATTGCATGCAACTCCCTTGAAAAGACAGTAGCGGAAAGTCAGTTCCTCCTTTACTTACCTGCCAAGACCTGAAACTCCCACTGGCTTCAGTGAGTGTCCCTGAGAGAGGTTTGCAGAGCTGGGGTCCAGGGGCTCGGGCTTGGCTTAGAGCAGTGTGAGGGACCCAGCTGCCTGTTCTGCTCTGGGTGTTGGTGGAGTGCTCAGCTGATGCGCAATGAATGAATCCTGATCTTGCCAGGTGGGGCCTTTCTGTTCATCTCTCAATTGTGTTTCCCCCCTTTGGAAGCCGCGGAATGGGCAGAATAGGCAGCGCAGTGACACCAAGTCCTCAGAAAGCCATTGAACGTTTCAGGAATGTCTGTGCCCCAGCGTGCTGCGCGTGTAAACACAAGAAAATCCCCCACTTTGTCACAGGGTGTACGCTTCTTATGTTAGGCCCTGCAAACAAACCAGCCAACCAACCAATCTTCCCCACCTCCACATGTGTTCCAGAGAGGGGAATGTGGAGCCTTTAAAAACGCTTTGTTCCAGAGGATGTTGCATTAGTTCTAATAGATCTTATAACGATTCTGTGCACCTTCGAAAGATTTATGATGTCAAGTTGCTGCTTTTAATAACCAACTTTTGTTATATTCAAGTTGTAATTAATATGTCTGATGTACAATTAAAAAGTCTTTTTTAACGTCACCGGCTCTTTATAGTGTCCATTATTAATCATGAGGTCGTGAACCCTAGAAACTGGGTCATACCAAGCATGACTTGATGGGTTCTGCTGCCTGGCTTATGGGGAGTGGCAGCTCGTATGTCTCTGGGATTCTAAGGCCGGCCACCAGTGTAACCCAGAGTGAAAGGCAACCGCAGGGCTGAGGTGCAGACTGGCACTTTTCAGCATGCTTCCGCTCACTTTCCTCCAGGGGCATGTAGCATTTGAAGGCTGAAGTGCCTAGTTCTTAGAAGATGCAGGGCTGCTGAATATGGGACAAGGCCAGAAGGTACCTCCCTGGACCTCTCCCTGCTGGAGATCCTTCACTTCCCTCTGAGCCTTTTGAGCCCTCCCTGACTTGCATCCTGTGTGTGGATCAGCGCTGTTCCAGAGAACGCTCCCTTTGAAGTCCGTCAGTATCGTTCCCCTCCTTGAAGGATCGCCACCTGGTAATGGCACTCGCTCCCCAGTCCCCTGTAGCAATGCAGAATGGGCTGCCCCCTTTGCCTGTTACCGGGTCAATGTGGTTTAATTTAGGCCAGATACCCTCTCCCACAGAAACCTTTAGGAGGTGATCTGAGAGGGGGGAGGGAGGAAAACTTTCCTCTAATTCTTCTGTCTGGGGAATGGGGTCAGTCCTGCAGAAGAAGCAAGGAGCCCCACCCCAAAGCCCTGCAGCTCACAGGGATCCATTGGAGGCACCAAGCCAACCACACGGACATCCTCTGCTTCTTAGGGGAAAGGGTCCTTTTACTGCTTCCATGGCTCCATTGGAGGCCCCAGCTACACTACTTCCAAGAGATTCCTACAGGGTGCGGGG